ATTGGTATGCAATAAAACGTTACGTGAAGCTTGATTTGTAATCGTAAGATTCGAAACTTCATACGTAATACTTAATTGTTACAATTATAATACACTAGCAAAGTCCCTTTGAATCTATTACACATAAATAATTACTAAAATATTTTATTAATTAAGATTATATAAATATTTTAATCATAACTCTTTTATTAGATTAATAGATTTCGCTCATTTTTTGCAATGCAAATTAAATAATTGAACGGGGGAAAAAAAACTGAAGAAGAAAGGTTGTGCATAATGGCTGTAGCATGGTGGGTTTTACAAATTGCTGCTAACGAAGAAAAACATTTGTTAAGAATAGAAAGGCGACAACTGCGTGATGCAACTAATCCTTTCGGTATTCCAGAATCGCAATTTATTTCTTTATATCGGTAAGTAAAAAAATGTTTTAATAAAGACATTATAATAAAGAAATAAAAGCATATAAGTGTAAATTATTATACATAAATAATTTATATACATTTTAAAATAAAAACAGTTTATATATATATATGTATGTAATTTTAAATTTACTGTAGCTTACATTGTATTTTACATTATATTTTCATTCCATTTTGAAGAATATAATTTGTACTTGTACAAAACATGGCTCACATAGGCTAATTTTCTTTTCTTATATTTTTAATATTGGAGCCTTTGTAATTATTTATTAACAATATAAATATATTATAAATAAAAAGAAATTTTGAAAATTTTTGATGTTCAGGCTTCCGAAAGATGCTGTATTGACATTATGTGAAAACATACAACCTTATGTGCAGAGAGCTATAAGACCAACAGCAATCCCATTCGAATTAAAGGTAAAATATAAATTAAATACAAATATCCATTATTTGAAATATAGTTATACGTTTCAAATTACATGGTGCAAATTATAACAGTTTTTTAAACTATTTTATATATTTCTTTTTTAATTGTTAAGGTTTTAGCAACATTAAGTTTTCTGAGTTCAGGATCTTATCAAAGAAGAGTTGGACAAGATTTTTTCAGTTGCATGTGCCAGGCATCTATTAGTGGTGCAATACATGAAATTGTAAATGCAATAAATGCTATTATGCCGCAATGGATAAAGTTTCCTGTACAAGCTAATGAGATTGAAGCAATCAAACAACAGTGAGTTACAATCAAACTACATTGTTTTCTTTCTGTTTTTAAACAAAAGTTTTTAATATTTTTTAATTCTAATTTTTAATAAGATATAAGAACATTTATAAATTATGAAATTTCTTCTTACACATATTATGAGACAGTAAAATACATAATCATATTTCAGATTCTGGATTAATACTAATTTTCCAGGCGTTATAGGAGCTGTTGATGGTACGCATATAGCGATTTTTCCACCTGAGAAAAGAAGAGAATATTTATACATAAATAGAAAATTATATCATTCTTTGAATGTTATGATAGTAAGTACAAATTATTTAATAATAATATATATACACATACACATAATACACATACACATTTAATAACAAC